TGAAGGGGCGACCCTTAGAGGAGAGGCGATGGTGGCGAAACGGTGGCTGGCGCAGGCAAACCAGTTCGAGTCTCGGTAGTGGCTCAGAGGCAACTTTGCAGTAAGCAAGCGCACACGGTGGTGATTTCTGCTGGAAGCAGGACGAAATGCTGGTGTTGCATAGGAATGAAGGGGCGACCCTTAGAGGAGAGGCGATGGCGGCGAAACGGTGGCTGGCGCAGGCAAACCAGTTCGAGTCTCGGTAGTGGCTCAGAGGCGACTTGGCGGTAACTGCCCATGATTTGCCGTGACAAATCTTTGCAATTCCCTAAGGTGTGGCATATGGGGAAGGAGAGGTCTATTGCTGTAGTGTCTACAGCTATGTATGTGAGGCACCCAATTGATGGGTAGACGCGAGGGCATGACATGCCAGGCGGACATTGACGTTTTCTGACGTTTGTTATGCATGTTGATGTAAAGTGTAGTATGTGTTGTTCAACACGTGTAGCAGCTCCACTGCCATTATCAACAATACCTGAAGAAATCACAGAGATCTGATCTACCAGGACGACCGTCCTACGTAGACTCAACTGCGCCTTCACAGCAATCGGACTTTGAAATCAAAGTTGTATCCTTCCAGGTTTTATGTTTCGTATTATATATTTGTGCTGACTTGTTTGAATTATCTGTCCATTATGCAATTGTTAGGGTATTGAATTCGAGAGCTATGGTTATCCATGTGGGTATATGACTGTGATGCACAAATGCTTCGTCATTATCATGTTCGTCATACAAATGGGGAATGCAAAAATAAAAAGTACAAGTTAACACCTTCTCTCTCTAATCAAACTAAAATGCTAACCCAAAACCGAAAAAAACATAAATTAAAACTAAAAGCTTATGGCCTTCTCTTTAAGTTGAATCACTAACCCAAACCGCAATAACATAAACTTAAAACAAAGAAGGTTAAAACGTAAAATAAACAATAACAACACGAAACAAAGAACTAATAATACCGGTAAATTAAAGGGGGAAAAACATCGAGGTGGGCAATAAGTCCTTCTCTCCCAAAACCGAAAAAAACATAAATTAAAACTAAAAGCCTACGGCCTTCTCTTTAAGTTGAATCACTAACCCAAACCGCAATAACATAAACTTAAAACAAAGAAGGTTAAAACGTTAAATAAACAATAACAACACGAAACAAAGAACTAATAATACCAGTAAATTAAAGGGGAAAAAACATCGAGGTGGGCAATAAGTCCTTCTCTCCCAAAACCGAAAAAAACATAAATTAAAACTAAAAGCCTACGACCTTCTCTTTAAGTTGAATCACTAACCCAAACCGCAATAACATAAACTTAAAACAAAGAAGGTTAAAACGTAAAATAAACAATAACAACACGAAACAAAGAACTAATAATACCAGTAAATTAAAGGGGAAAAAACATCTAGGTAAAGTCGGGCATGTGAAGCTGAAATATAATCCTTGGCTCAAGTGATTTTCTACACTTGGATCAAGTTCTATGAATTGAGTCGGTCGCCCGGTAGTATTGTTTCCAGGTGAGGGGAACATGCTTTCAATGTCTACGAACTAGCCCGGATATTTGTCTTCAATTCCACCTGGTGTGATGGCGAACTGAATTTTTGCTATGTTTGCACTTCGTTTGATGTTGTCTGGAAGGATGAATAAAACGTTTTCTTTGCTGCGCTTAGCCTTGGTATTGTCTTTAATTCCAATTCCAATTTTGCCTGTTTGATGTTGTCTGGAAGGATGTAAAACGATGGCGAACTGAATTTTTGCTATGTTTGCACTTCGTTTGATGTTGTCTGGAAGGATGAATAAAACGTTTTCATTGCTGCGTTTGGCCTTGGTATTGTCTTTATTTCCATGTGAAGAGAAAACGGAGACACGTTTTTTTGTGATATTTAATTTTTGTTGTTTGTTACTAAAGGTCACCTTCACACAATTACATTCCCAAAGTAGCTTCATAGTGAGTTCTTACTCACAACATTGTCTTCAAATGAGCCTTGATTGGTGTCACGTTTGCAGAGGCACTTGTTTGGGTTGGGCACACAAGCTTTGCTCTGATGTTTTGATTGTAATGCCTAATCCGCGATTTTCTGAGTGAGACATGGAAGCCAACCAAGTGGCGGGAATTACGACTGAAAGCTGATCGGTTGTTTAATCGCATAAGTGAATGAGATGAGTGAGTCGTGTCAGGTTTAAGCTACCAACCGGCCTTAATCCATGAATGATTGACTCTGTGACCTCAGTGCAGAGCTTAATACAAACACTTTTCAATCGCTCGGGCTATATATACCTAGCAGTCAGATACAAGCATCACGGCACTTGTGCTAACATTGTTTGACACAACTCATTGTCGAAGACTTCATTCAAGCCATGGCCTACACACTTTTTAAAGGTCCTGTTTCAAAGCCAGTCCACTTTGCCATCCTGGGACATAGCTTCGTGCGGCGACTTGATCAAGTCTGTCCCCCTCCACGTGGCATCATCACTTCCGTGCGTGGGATCGGAGGGGCGACTGTCGCTCGGATGAAAGCAGTGGTGGATGCCCTTGATGCAGGTTTTCAGGGCATTGTTTTCTTTCAAGTGGGAGAGAACGACGTGTCGGCGTCAACTGATCCTCAAAACCTGGTTGAGGACTTGCTGGATCTTCTGGACTACCTTCGGTGGAAACGGCCGGGCTCCAGAGCAGTGATAGGAAGTCTGTTCCCGAGGGTAAAACCAAGGAACATGACGATCTCTGCCTACAAGCGGAAGGTGGAGGAGGCGAACCGGCGCTTGAAGAGGATGTTGCGACGCCGTCTGGATGCCACCTTTTGGGACCACAGCCAGTACATGAGGATGGGACCTGCACTGTTAGGCAAGGATGGCGTCCACTTGACGTCAAAAGCCAATGCCCAGTTCTGGCTTTCCATTCGTAAGTGTATGTGTAGGTACGTTTAAACGCCCATGCCCTGTCCGGTAGATCATCATTTAATCGTAATTCCAAAACTCAATAATATGTCGTTTCGGCCCATTGTGTTTATATACAGCAGTGGCAAAAGGGTTCCGCGTGTAAGACAATCAGTGCAAACGGGACGCACAGATCAGACCTGGGTGTTCAGTCAAATCTGAGCGCACGGGGCTTAGCTTGGGATGGCTTTAAGGGTGGGAAAACGTGACGACATCCGCACGTGTCGCACATGACGTGAAAGCTAAGACACGGGGCTTTCGATCCATAGTAACAACAAAACCCTGTGGTCGATGTACGAAACATAACAAGCACCTGCAGCGTGAAATACTGCCGTAAATCGGGTCAAATCAGGCTTAAAAGCGCCCCGGCTTCGAACCCGTTAAAGACAGGTCACTTCTGATGATACCACCAGTTGGCCCTGGGAACCAGCTTCACGTCGATGTGCAACATGTGAATGGGTTGTGTATATTTGTCGTCCACGCAACGTATAAAAGATGATCGCCGAGCAAGGCTCTTTTCTTGGTAAAAAGACATGTCTATATCAGATGGCCAAATGGACGTGGACGTCCAACCAGGTGCCACACGTCGACCCCGTGACGATCCCAGGTGCTTCATGCACGTGGCAACATTTTCATATACGATATGCGTGCATATGTTTCTTTCTCCGGGTGCGAGACGATTAGTGCAAGCGGGATGCAGAGATCAAACCCCTTTTGATATGAAATCTGAGCTGTTTTGGCTCCCGTCACACGCACGGGGCTTAGCTTCGGGGGGCTTTAAGGGTGGGAAAACGTGACGACATCCGCACGTGTCGCACATGACGTGAAAGCTAAGACACGGGGCTTTCGATCCATAGTAACAACAAAACCCTGTGGTCGATGTACGAAACATAACAAGCACCTGCAGCGTGAAATACTGCCGTAAATCGGGTCAAATCGGGCTTAAAAGCGCCCCGGCTTCGAACCCGTTAAAGACAGGTCACTTCTGATGATACCACCAGTTGGCCCTGGGAACCAGCTTCACGTCGATGTGCAACATGTCAATGGATTGTGTATAGTCGTCGTCCACGCGACGTTTAAACAACAACACCCACCGTTTTGGCCCCTGATTTGCAATGTAGTTATCATCCCTTATATTGAAACACTTTCTTAGTAAAGTACAGATTCTAGTACTTCTTGGGGGTTGAGTCCCATCCGGGATTCGAACCCACACCCTCAGAGTCAGGCACCTAATCGCCAGCACACAAAGTCAGACGCCTAGACCGCTCAGCCACCGCCGCATCCACAGCTTGGCATTGTGTATTTCATCCTTATATTGAAGTTTCTTCTTCAAACGCATATGTTGTTATAGTTATTTTTGTGCAAGATATTTACATGTCCGATAAAGTACGAGTATAGTGTCATATTGCAAATCCAGTGTCTGCTCTTGTGAAACTTTAAATGTTTATTACACATCGTTTTGTATCACTTAACAGCCTCTGCCACTACAAACCTTATAAAAATGTCTCTATATATGTGCCCCTCAATATAAGCAGTTTCATTGATATAGGTAAGTGGCGTGGGTACATAAGATGAATTGACGATATATATACTATCGGGACCATAAAGCTGTATTAAGATTGCTTGCAATGTAGTTATCATCTCCTTATATCCTTCAACAGAAATATATGCTGTTTTAGTTATTTTTGTGCAAGATTTGTATATGTTCAATAATGCACGAGTATATTTTTATATTTCAAATCCACTGTGTGATCTTGGGATACTATAAATGTTTATTACACATCATTATGCATCACTAACTACCTTTGCCACTATAAACTCATAAAACTGTCTCTATATATGTATCTCTAAATATATATCTCTAAATATATTCAGTTCCATTGATGTAGGTAAGTGGCGTGGGTATACAAGTGGTAGTGACGATTTGTATTCTACATGTATCTGGACTATAACACTGTATTATCGCAAGTGACATTTCGAGTTTGGTTGGTGAAACTAATTAATACATTTTCGTCCTGCTTTACTTCATCCTGTGCTAAAGGTGGCTTTATAACAAGACAGAGATACCCGTCTTTGGCTACAACCCGTTCTGGTAAGTCAGGTCAAGGAATTATAGTATAAGAGTCCGATTTGTCTTCATGTATATGCAATATTTTTATATTTTAGGATTTCATTTAAAATTACAAATCATTTACATATCTGCGACAAGAATGATCATCAATACTTGCAGAACATATGAAATTATTCCAAGCATATATAAAAATGGCCGTCAAAACAAGCGATAGCTTTTGCAAACATCATCCATTCCAGTTCCAGTTATTTTTGAGACGTGAACATGGGCTGCTTTTGAATTATTGAGGTTTTTCATAATTCTGGGTCCTGCAAATATTTGATGGTTTGTTAACATTGTTGGTCCAGTAACACAACCTACGCAACTGCTGATGGAGGAAAGTATGAATTCCTGATCGATGGTTCAATGGCATTGCCACTGGAAGAGGTACTGAGGCTACTAGATATTTCATGTACATTGGTACAGTTAAACCCTTTCCTTCTTTGCCTGACCATCATTTGAGACGGGAATGTGGGTTGTTTCATGTAACATTCATTAACTTCTCTTTACGTTTCAGAGATTTTGGACTGATTTGCTCGCTGGTGGAAGGAAATGGGGATTGATTGCATACGAACAGGTACCACCTCTGATTACCAAACATTATAACTTTAGACTAGACGAGAGAGAACATGCTTATTTTCTGCATATTTTTTTCGTTTCCTTAGGATTACCTCAATGAAGAATTTGAAGGAATCCAAAAACTTATGACTGACATTGACCTTGGCCGGCAATGGTTGACTCAGATGGGGAATGGGGCTGCCAAGAACGGACTGACCATCCAGTACTGCATGTCCTACCCGCGACATGTGCTACAGTCTCTGGAAATACCTGTCGTCACACAGGTGAGAGAGAATATGGCTGCACGTCCATATAAACTATATTTCATGGACAACTTCGAATATTGTTGCTTAGATCAAAATAGAAAACATATTTTATATCAGAAATGGTGCATATTTCTTGTCTAACATTCAAGCGAATCCTTTGAGGTGTTAAAAAATATACAAGGTGTTAAAAAACAGACAAAATATGGTCTTTGTCAAGTAAAACAATGTAAACCTGAGTATTGTATGTTTCAGGCCCGTGCAAGCCACGACAACATACCAGGCACCGACAACTGGAAGATCGGTGTGACGTCTCTATTTGCATGGGCTATTGGTATTGCACCCTTAAAGGATATTTTTTGGACGACCAGCGTTCAACCTGGAAATACTTTCAGTATGGAGAATACTATTTTATATTCATTGATTCCATTTTTTTCTTTCACAACGAATGTCTTGTCTAGTCGAAAATATTGAACAGGCTTAACATCATGATGTTTCAAGTACGTTGGCGAAAACTGATCTTACTTCAATTATTAAAAATTTGTCGCAGATTCCACAGAACCATACCCGTCCCTTCAAGCCGTAGTTGCAAACCTTAAGCACAGGCCCAGTTGGAATCGGTGACATGATTGGGGGAACAAACAAGGCACTCATTATGAAGTAAGTTGTTGTTTAAGAGAGAGTACCTTTACAAAAACACTGTATGTTTCAGCCCAATTGTTTTGGTTTCATGTCTTGCTTGACAGTATATGTTTACTGTAATACTTCACTTTTAATTTTAATTGATCATCTCTTACTAAATAATTTCGTTTGCTATTACTCATGTATTACGCCTCAAGTATTGTTTTGTATTTTTCCTGTATTAAAGGTCACATGCAACGTAAAACACAACGTTGCAGATTCTGATACCTTTCGGTATGGACTTACCGAAACAAAGCGTAAAAAATGCAAATTGAACTTATAAAGTTGAAAAATAACGCGATGAAAAAACGCGCGAAATCGGAGTTCAAACGATTCACTAATTTTCCCCAGACTTTTCGGGGGGAAACTGGTTTCAACAGCTGGGCTGCGCTCATAGCACGTGCGCAGTGAAATAGCTTCGCGCAACTTGGAAGCGGGCTGTCCGGTGAATACTCGATGAAGGCTTTGGTGTGGGCTATTTTTCTAATGTTTTGTTGATATCTCACAGGCGCAAGCGTTTTATATGTTATGACAGTAGATTACCGATTAAACTGTTTATATAATTTCATTTGTCTATTTCACCACACGTTCTTCTTACCGAGACACTTTCTCAGTTCGATACTTAAAAGCAATATCATTATTTAGTGTTGACAGAATTTCTAACTGTGATATAGATATGTCGTTGTCACAGACAAAACTCAATGTCTTGTTTTATTGACACCTGTGTGTCTGCCTGCCTGTCTGCTAATGACAATATTCAATACACAACTTCGATCACTGACCACATGCAATTTGAACTTAACACCAATCAGGCTATACACCATGAACAAAACGCATTGATTTATGGCCCGAGTTCGGTCTCCGTCACATTATGTAATTACACAGACAGGCAGGTGTGATACTTGAACACATGACATGTTATGATGTCTGTTGATTGCAAAATGTCATAAACAAAAAATGAGCATGTATTTACAAAACCCAACATCTCTATATATACACACACAATGAGCCGTGAGGGCATCTGCAAATGAACCAGCCGTTACACTTGAGTGCACACATACCCGCTCTGACTGGGTTCGGTATCCCGGCTGCTTCGTTTCTTGGGAAGTAAACCCAAGTACACAATATTGCACTTTTGATTTGCGATTGTACGCTTATAATTTTGTTTATATGTTTTTCCATAACCAGCAATGTATATTATGTCATGAATAAGTGATAATTGTGTTTTAATTATGTTTGATTTTTTGGTTGCATGTGACCTTTAAGCATGTGTATTTCCAGATTTGTTCATCAGTACTCCAGTATCAATATTGGATCTCATTAATGTATCATTTCTTACTTCTGTAACTTTTAGTCCACATATATTTATCTTTAGTTTCTTATTTATGTGTTACTCTTGCATATATTATCTGTCACTCCTTTTTTAATTATTCAGTAATGTATTTTCATATATACATAACGTTATATATATTCAAGTTTTGTATTTTTATTGAGTATTCCAGTAATTTATTGCTTGTTGTATATTGTACTTTGGCCTTTTTACTTACATATTGTGTGTTTATTGTTTCTCCAATAAAAACTTGTTGCACCTGTTTCCACATTTCTTTACACCAAAAGGGATTTGTTTCCAAGGACAGTCAAAACTGGTTATTCGTTTCTATATTTACTCCTGTTCATGTTCTCGCTCATTGTTTATTCATTACCAATGTATTAATCATTTGTACTCACAGATTTAGTCTGCATTACTCCCATATTTTGGATGTATTATCCCTGTTACTCAGTCTGCCTAAGTACTCACATCTACATCTATTCACTGTCACCTTTTACAGATCCGTAAATGCTGACGGCCTGATCCTGAAACCATCGCGACCAGCGACGTCTATTGGCAACAGAATACGGAGGGTATCTGTGCCTTTGTCTTTATTCGTAACACTGCCTTGTTGTTTGGAAGTCACCTCAAGCATGGTTAGCTCTTGATTTCATCTATCAAAAGGTGGCATCAACGTCATCATTCAGAACTATTGAGACACAGGAGAACTACTATTTACATTAAAACGGCTTAAATGGGACCCTTCTCCCGTAAATTCAAGGTTCCAACAGGAAGGGATCAAGTCGTGCAAATGTCATAATATTGTTTACTTGATAAAGCATTTTACCACCCACCTCCACACAATGCGGTAGACCCTTGAACACCCTTCGTTTCACCCTGCCCCTCAAATGGTCAGTGACAAATTATGCGCCTTTCACCGATTCACCATAAACCTGCACTAGAAACTGGCAGAAGACTGAATGTCTGACTTTAAAACGGAATGATAACAGGGTATGATTAACGGAATGATAACAGGGTATGATTAACGGAATGATAACAGGGTATGATTAACGGAATGATAACAGGGTATGATTAACGGAATGATAACAGGGTATGATTGACGGAATGATAACAGGGTATGATTAACGGAATGATAACAGGGTATGATTAACGGAATGAAAACAGGGTATGATTAACGGAATGATAACAGGGTGTGATTAACGGAATGCTGTTGTCATTAGAGGAGTGTCTATCCGATGGTAAATGACATATAACTGCGGACTTTGTGATATTGACATGCCACAAAGTAACTTTATAGCACTGAATGTGTTGAAAAAGCATGAAATATATTGATAGAACCGAAATTTTCTCATGCATGTTTTTTAGTTGTCCTGGACGGTCCACGTATTCAGATTTTGGTAGAAAGAACAAGTACTTCACGGATACAACTGTTGTACAAGTACTTCACATATACAACTGTTGTACAAGTACTTCACATATACAACTGTTGTACAAGTACTTCACATATACAACTGTTGTACAAGTATACTCAATGATACTTCACACATAACTGTTGTACAAGAACTTCACGGATACAACTGTTGTACAAGTACTTCACAGTAAAAACAGTTGTACAAGTACTTCACAGATACAACTGCTGTACAAGTACTTCACATATACAACTGTTGTACAAGTACTTCACATATACAACTGTTGTACAAGTATACTCACTGATACTTCACACATAACTGATGTACAAGAACTTCACGGATACAACTGTTGTACAAGTACTTCACAGTAAAAACAGTTGTACAAGTACTTCACAGATACAACTGCTGTACAAGTACTTCACAGATACAACTGCTGTACAAGTATACTCACTGATACTTCACACATAACTGTTGTACAAGAACTTCACGGATACAACTGTTGTACAAGTACTTCACAGACGCAACTGCTGTACAGGTATACTCACTGATACTTCACACAGAACTGTTGTACAAGAACTTCACGGATACAACTGTTGTACAAGTACTTCACAGACGCAACTGCTGTACAGGTATACTCACTGATACTTCACACACAGAACTGTTGTACAAGTACTTCGCAGATACAACTGTTGTACAAGTACTTCACAGATACAACTGTTGTACAAGTACTTCACAGAT